ATTCATCATGTGATTCCGATTTGATGTTTGTCAGCTATCAGATCGAATTCACATGACGAATATGTTCATAAATCCGGAATCTATGAATCATGTGTTCACGTGACACATTAGCCACATGGTAATAATGTGTGGCGTTCATGATGTGAATAGTAATTTATCATGGTACGAATAGCAGTTCCCTATATTTATCTTTATTAATTTCAATATATATAAAGAATTTTTATATTCTAATTTTCAATAATATCTTTTAAAAGCTTCTTTCTTAGTTAATTTTGTTGTTTTATCTAGAAAATTAATATTATAATAAAGATAAGAATATATCATTTTTACTATTTATTTTATAAAGTCTTTTTTATTAGATATTCTATAAGATTATTTAATATAATTCTTGTATAAAGTTTCATAAATTTCTGTTATTATATTATTTATTGCTCTATATTCTTGGATAATTAGTATTATATAATAAAATTATATATGAAGCTTTAATAGTTATAAGTCACTTGGAAAATAATATATAAAAATATGAATAAATTTTTGATTTCAATTGATAATAAGTATTTATATAATAAAATATTAAAATTAATATCAATTATTGAATATTCCCAAAAATAAACTACTTTAAAAGATAATTTATTTTTTTGAGATTATATGATATAATATATAATATATCTCAAGTTTATTATATAACTAATATATAAAGAATTTCTTATAAATAATTAGATATATTTGAAGAAATTTGTAAAATACTTTGCATAATTATTTGTTATTAATACTTTATTTTTTAGATGTTTCATAAAAATCATCAAGTACAAAAATAATTACTTATATTATATTTTGCAAATTATTAAGTCATATATATTAACTCAAATATATTTTTAAATTTATAAAATCTAAAATTTTTTGTCAACTATTGCTCAATGATTTGAACTGTTCAACTCTCATTGTTCATTTAAAAATTCTTTAGTATAATTTAATATATATTTAAACAAGTATATGCATTCAATCAGAAATAATTACTTAGTAAATATTGAAGTCTTTAATAATTAAGAAGTATTATTAATGAATTTAAATATTAATAATAAACAAAAATATCATATTTTCCAAAATATATTATGTTCAGTGTGAATTAAATTCTCATATGTCTGACTATTATTTATCACTTGTTTTATATTATATGAAGTTCTAGGTAATATATTTGTTAATTTTGTATTATTTAAGCTATCTTTCAATATTAAATAGGAATTACTATCTAGATTTAATATTAAAAATACAATTGTACGAAATTTATTTTATAACCAGTTTTATCGTTTGTTAGAAAAATCACATATGACAACGATAAATATTGATGTTAACTCAGTAATTACAATCAAAGCTCAATACAACGATATCGTCGGGATAGTAAAAAATTCTGCAAATAGAGAATTTATTATAAAATCGTTATATCAAAGGAAATTTTATTAGTAATGTTTTAAGTTGTTTCGTTATATCGAGATTTTATAATGAGCTTTGAATGTATATTATTGAGACTATGATTGTAATAAAATCACAGAGAAAAAATATAAATGCACAAACAGTATTTTTATAATTAAATTGAAGTAACTTTGAACATGAAAATAACTAAAATATATGCTACTTTTAAAATCAATATTAGTGAACAATAATGAATTGGATTCAAATATCCAACCCAATGTTCTTATTTTCTAAATATACTATTTCTTCTATTTCTTACAAGGATAGTAATAATGTTATTAAAATATCAAAATTTTACTAATATTCTCAATATCCATCAAAAGTAAGATTGTTCTGTACATTAAATCCAATCCTCATAAAGAACCTTTTGCGTGCCGTGCAATAGTAAACAAAGAAACTTCAACGCCAAAAATTGTAAACTCCAACTAAGCTAACGTCAAATTCAAAGTTGAGACTTTAATAGAAGATGCAACCTGACTCATGATCCTCACGAGATCGCGACAAGATACATTGTGTCGATAATTACAAGCGTGATTGAGATTATTGTTAATACATTGTGTTTTCTGCCATCGTTATGATTAAATCCAAATATATTAACGAATCGATTTGCTTGTTCAAATTCAACGCAAGATTCGAGATTTTCTGCAGCAGTTCAACTTGAATTCTCGCATCCCTCTTTGCACATGAGTCAATTTCGCCAAGAATTCAACATTTTGATCATGCGCACGAAATGCACCAACGCATCTTCTAAATTATGCGTTAATTTAATTCAATTAATTTCCATTGATTGTTGTAAAGAAGCAAACGAAAGATTCCTAACAAAAGCTGCACACAATCAAAAAATGTTAGATTTAGCAATTTCATTACTGCTGTAAACAAAATTATCCGCCAAGACGCGACTTGGAAGTGCATGACAGTTAAAGTTTGTGTTAGAGCTTTGAACTTTATTATAAAGTGAAATTATTCCAAAGAGAATCAACTGTAATAAAGGTAATAATTGATCATTTTGCAACCAGCTGTAGGCACCAGAGAAAACGGATCATTCCATAGAATCGGCGCGACAATACGCCACCAAGGACATGCAAGAGTAAAGTGATACTTTGCTTGGCATATTTTTCTAGACATTCGAATGGTAGATTTCATGCAGGGCAAAGTATAAGACATTAATAGTTTCTTTGGAATAAATATTTTGTGTGAAGACAAAATTAATGAAACTTTATAATTTCGTAGATCGCTACTAAATTAAGAAATTTTTATGCAAATTTGGAAATCCAAGTAACGTTAGTATATGCGAGGTTATATGAATTGAAATTATGTGCATATCTAAATTATCAAAATGGCTACTGCATGTATAATACATTAATGAATCTAATTCTATATGGTTTATATAATTATTTAAAATTCATTGTGTAATTCCGTGATATTCATTATATAATTTCTTTTATTATTATTATTAGTTCTATTATGTTTCAATTAAACTATTGATACTATTAATGAACAAATAAATACCTTCTTATGCTATTATTAAAGGAGTGAACAAACGATTTTTGAATCAATAAATACCTTCTTATTAATTACTATTATTAAAGGAGTGAAAAAACAATTAATAGATAGATAGATAAAAGGTGGTGTGAAGGTATCTATTGAACAGATTGGATAGGAGATAACGTAATGGAAATCAACAATATGAAATTCGAATGTTAATTAATCAAGATTAAATTAAGTAAGAGATATTAAAAAATAAGACGTAAGGAAAAAAATTATTATTATTAATTAAATATTATTATAGTAATAAGTTAAAGAAAAATACTATATAACAATTTATACTGTACAAAGAATAAAACGAGTGTGAATATATAACGAATGAGCGACGTAATTACGTGATGATAAAGAAAATGCTGCTGATGATTATATCGATATATGAAATGAATGAATGTCTGTTTGATTGAATGAAAAAAAAAGGAAAATGAAATCCCCACGCCCAAATAAAAAAGTAATATGTAAATATAGAGTAAGATTTAGTGCGATCAACGTACAGGAAATGAAATGAAATATCTATATCTGTTTGTTGTTGTATATGTCCTTAATGTGGTTGTTTTGGTGTTATTATTGTCACTATAGTTACTATACATCCAAATATTCGGGATGTGCCTTAAAATCTGGGAACTTGCCCAAAAATTTCACCCACTCTTTCAAAACACTAGGATCAGTATCGTCCAATTCATTTTTCTCCCGAGGTTTCCCTTTAATATCACAATATCGTTGAACCAGAATTTCGTTTTCGTCTTCAAGATTCTCGGTTTCTTCTTCCAACAACGAAATGTCTGACCCCGAGCTATCACTACAGCTCTCAACGGTGGACTGATGCTGCGATCGGGTTGTTGAATCCGTGGGTGGCTCCGGTATTAATTTGCGTATGAATGCGGCGGATTGTTTAATTGAACTTATAGCAGCTGGATGGAAAAGAAACATTTGAAAGACGTGTGGCATTGCACTAGAAATTAATGAATTTAATTGTTATCATCCCTATTGTTTTGAAAGACAAAAAATATCAAGTAATAAAAAATTAAGCCTACTCGTAAACAAAAAGATGCACTTTTGTCGGCGGATATGGGTGTCTTCCTTCTTTTTTAGTGTCAAATACTTCGGGATGCGTTTTTGCTGCCTTGTGTGCGAATAAAATCGCTTCATCATGTAATCTTTCACCTTTACCGCATGTCTAAACCACATAAATTCCCTCAATCATCTATATTCATTATATAATTACATAGAGAAACAGATATTGATACGAAACTTACAATGAATAAATTTCCCAGTCCACCTAAATCATCAGCCAAAATCGGACTGACATACGGGATATCTATTGCAGAGTTATACGCGTAATAATGAATTCTTTGCAATCGTTGATTAATGTCTTTGTAGTCTTTTATCGGGTTTGCCGGGGACGCTTTGTGAACGAACCCATTAGGAATGTAGTCTGTTTCAATATTCATGACACATGAAGGTAATGAGTGGAAAAGATCAACCCTAAAACAGAATAATTATAGGTTAATTAATCTTCTCATTATAAATATTACCCGCGAGTAGAAGATTTTGCTACTCCGGAAAATTACGTATCATATAAAATAATGATTACCAAGGAGACCAACATACTCCTGCAACAGGTTTTGGAAGACCAGCATCACGTAAAACCATATTCAATGCAATCGTTAAGCCACCGCCAGCCGAGTCACCCATCACAATGATATTTTCTGGACTTATTGGCTCAAATCCAGCATCAGCAGGTGGGTGTATTAAATAGAAATATGCAGCTAATACATCAACTAAAGCGCCAGGGAACGGTGATTGAGGAGCTAAACGATAATCAATGCTGTGTAATATATATATATATTATAACACATTAATCTTTAATAGCAACAAAGCGAAATCGTCCTAAGCCGAAAATGCACTAGACAGACTCCCAATTTTTATATGTATATTCGGCTTAGCGTGAAATGAAGAACTTGCTAAGTCGTATTTGGAGACCTTCGGTTTATCAAGTTTACTTGTATAAGAAAGTTACCTTAAAGCTCTAGCACCACCATATTTCGTAACCTTTTGGATCAAGAACCGATGTTGTGCAGCACTTCCATAAAAGAAAGCACCACCATGAATAAACAAAACAACACGGTCGACTGCCGTTCGTTTCTTTCGTTTTTTCGATTCTACCCATTCACCACGTAACGGTCGTTGTTTCATCGGATCTTCTCTCCATCGCCAGCCAACTTTTTCCTCTTGTCCGCTTAACAAACCAGCCAAAATATCTTCAGCTTGTGACCTACATGTTTCGGGTATTGTGGCCTTGCGTACGGAAACAGAAGGTGGTGAAGGCAAATGTGCTCGCGATAGAACTTTTTGGTGTTTTTCTATGGTGAGGTTTTTGCCAAGTTTTAAACAGTTTCTCAAGAAAGTGACGCCCAAGTGTAGTTTTAAGTCCCAGTTTCTGAGTTTTTTATATAGAAAGTAGTCGAATATGTTAAAATTTGGTAATATTTATGTGAGATAGTGTTAGTTAGGTAATATATACTCACGAGTCGGGAATATCTTTTTTTGTGCTTTTATTTAATGCACTGAAAGCCGCCATGTCCATTAGTTTTATGAACATTTACTATTTTAATGAGTCGTCGTCGTTGCGACTTTATATTAGTATAATATTATAATATTATATCGTAGTAGACACGACTTAATATATATATTTCTATAATATAAGGTAGACACAACGAAACTTTTTATTCTTTATTCTTTAATAACAGAGACATATGTTACAGAAAGCAAGAGTTTGTCACTGCACGTCGTCCCTGGTTTTTATATATATAATTGTGGCCGAATATCATTTGTATGAAGAAAGAGAGGGAAACATATGATGCATCAATATAAAACCACAGCTGATTGATGATAATGGATTGAATCTGCAGATTATAATAAATGATCTGCAAAAGGTGTGTGTGATCAGGTTAGTGTCACCACATTGAATGAAGGAGAAGAGATGGTTTTTATTAATTGTACAAAACAGAGGAATAGGCGTACATTAATCAGAAAAAGAAATGCTAATTTGCCTATTTTGGTAAAAATGATTTTTTTTTATTATGTTGGTATACCAATTCTTAAAACATAAATTCGTTTAAACTCGTTTAAAGTTGAATCTCCGCTAAATTGAATGTCAGTTATGAAGAAATTTGATAATCATTTATTTAAAGTGCTTACCTCACCCTTCATCTTTTTCCGTGTATGCAATACAACATACTCACGCAAATTATTGTTCACACATTGATTGTTCATACGGAGTGCAACCGTAACACAATTCTGTTGTGCTTTACATGCTACTGCATGCATGACAAAAGCCGTATTTTTTGTATCGCGCGTGCATCTTGTTCATTTATATTTGTCAAGAATCAAATTCTGAACAGTGATAATGGTAAAAAGTTTTAATTCGTGGATCAGCACATAATGAAATTTTGATTTTATCATGAAAATACGTACTAACCAATTGGTTCACAAATAATGGAAATTATCCACCAATTATAACGTATCGTACTAGAATCGAACAGAACCATTATAAGAATAAATGTCATTGATTGACATGTTTCATACTAATAAAAAAACAACACATCATTTGTGTATCAGACTTTTCCGGTTGAATAGACTTGTACCTGCGATCAGCAAGTTGTCTGAGAACATGTGTATACATGTGCGAGGTAATTCGATGCCATCGTGAAAATCTATGCACAAATTATGTACTATGAAACGTCTAAAAATTCTGACTAAAGTTTCCCCGTGAATGAAGTTTTTTTTTGGTTAACAAATAAATCTTTAAGTCGATTTTTTGAACGTTCCTTTTTTTTTATTAGCATAATAAAACAGGACAATAAATGTGGCAATATCAAAGTCTTTTATTCGAAATGTGGCTTTCAAACATTATATAAGTCCGAGTCTAATGTTGTATATAATTTTTGGGGGAAGGAAGTACACGTATAATTTCCAAATTATGATATTGAATCTGATGAAGCTTCAACAACTGGTTTAGCACCATTTGTTTCGCCGATACTATTATCGAAGATACCATCGAAAGAAGCTTGATCAATTTTCTGATCCGTGTTTGCATTAGATGGAGATGCAATATTATTATTACTCGTATTGCTATTACTATTGTTATTATTATTATGATTGTTATTACTAATACCACTAGTAGTAGTAGCAGTAGTAGTAGTAGTATTACTACTAGTAGGAATCTGCCAAGATGGTATTGCTGGAGTACCGCCGGTCGTTACATTGGGAAAAGATGTCGTTAAATTTGGTCTATTTATGATTAATGATCTCAGTGATTTCAACTCGGTTTGTAAATCAGCGAGTGCTTGATTTTGAGAGTCTTTTGATTTTTCAAGAATCTATTTGATAATTTAATTTAATCAAAAAAGTCAATGGTAAAAAATGAAAATTATAATCTTTATTAAAAATTAATACCTTGGGAATAAGTTCATGAATAGTTTTGACTTCTTCCTGTAATGACTTGATATCGATGTCTCTTTTGATTTCCTGTTGCTTCAGATCTTTAAGAACAGTATCTAATGATTCTAATGCTTCTTTGACACTTAAGGATGTTTCTTCAATGTTTCTTCTGACGATATTTGCGTCAGTTTTGACCGAATCTAGCCGCTCCGAAGTAAATGTGAATTGATCGCTGAGAGCTTGCTTATCACTTTCAAGCTCGTTAGCCGTCGGTGTTTTTAATAGTGGGAGAAGATATTTCTATCGATTGCATTTGAAATTAGCCGAATTATATTTTTGATTAGAGATAATCTATCAAAGGCAAGGGCAAAATCAACAAAAACCTTGACAACAGCCCCAATTGCATATCCAATGCCACCGAACAGAACGGCAGCAATGAAATAGTCGCGCCAATCCGATTTTGCAGGTGGTGGAGCTGGTGGTTGAGCATATATCACTTGCCCAGGATTTACACCCTGTATAGGCTGAGGAGGTGCTACCGTTGTTGCATTAAACGGGTCACCACCTTTAACACGCCGAAGTGCCTCTTCAATTTCTTCTGAAGTTAGACCTTTAGATTCCAAAAAAGAAACTCGTGATTGGAGAGTAGACTTTTGAACTTTTGGGTCTTTAAGGAAGTTAACAGCGCCAAGGACCGACTCTTCACGGATACTTGCCATGTTTCCTTTGTCCTTGAAAGAGATGTTTCTGACTAAGGTTTTATTATTTAGCTGCTGTGCAACCCCACATTAGACTATTCCACGTGTGATTCGTAGTGGAAAAATCATCATGCGTGCATGCATGAGATTTCTTTTTGCTGTTCAAGTCTTTTCACTATTGCTATGGTCCCACACAGTTTTGATCACTTTGTTTTTTTAATTATCAGAAAAAGCCTTTTGCGCTAATTTGTATCCCGAACTATGAAAATATTTCTCACGGGTGGATCTGGTTACCTTGGGCGCAACTTTATCGAATACGCGTTTAAAGAAGACCCTCGCCTTTCCATAATTGTTTTATCACGCTCTAGCATTGCGGACGATCGAATATTGCGAGCTGCTGAAAATGCTCGTAATGGTCGAGAAAGAGTTCGAATCATTAGGGGTGACATGCATGATGAAGATGCATTAAGGGAAGGTGTTAATGAAGCAGATGTAATAGTGCATTTAGCTGCCAAGGTATTTTTCATTGACTTACTATTTTAGTTTATAATAGCAACATCGTATTATTGTTATTTTATTTTTGATGAATTATTATTAGGTCAAACCTTGGGGATTTTTTGAAGATTTTGAAAAAATAAACATTCAAGGAACTCAAATACTAGTTGATATTCTGAAATCACTTCCAGCATCTGTTGACCCACCACGTCTTGTTCATATTTCTTCATTCACTGCAAAAATAGCAAATCATATTCCAGGAGATGTATTACCTGATTGGGCACCATATTCTAAATCCAAACATTTAACTGAGGCCCTTGTTGCAAACTCGAAACTCAATGATGTAGTTATTCTTCGACTAGGTTGGCTATGGGGTAAAGATGATGATGTGCTCCTACCACAGATCTATCGTCTACAAAAGAATCCCATCTGGAAAGTTTCTCCTCCGGCATATCCGCTCTCTATCCAACACATCACAAACGCGTGTGAATCAATTTACTGCGCATCAACTGTCGAAACAACACCCTCGCTGATTTACGAATTCAAAGATCGCGAAAGCGATATAGAGATCGAGGATTTTGTGGAGATGTACGTTGGTGCTGCGTATGATCTGAAAAAAGTGATGCGTCCATTTAACAGACTTCGGGCACCACAATCTTTGATTTTCGGTATCTTCACGTTTGTGGAATGGATACCGTTTTTAGGGTATGGTACCAAATGGGTTTTCGATGGGTTCAGTAGGGAACCTTTGTATATTCTTTATCATGATTATCGATTGAATGATGAAAAAGCGAGAGGAGAACTTGGATATGCTGCAAAGATTTCAAGAGAAGAAGGATTGAACGAATTGATTGAAAAGAAAATAAAATAAAAGTATTTGTATGTTGATCAATAATTTTATCTCTTAACTAAATAAATCACTAACTTTTTAAATAATTATGCCATACTTGGTTTCCATTTATTTTTATGGAGTTAGAATAGAAATCACTTAATTTAGCCCTGTATTATATCGATATGCTATTTTTAGATATACATACTACAATAATGTACCACACACAGATGTCCTTTGAATCGATAAAATTGTGGTAGACCCAAAGACAGTGAGAATTAATATGTAATAATAACAAGACCGTAGGTTGGTTCCACTACCAGCATTAGTATTAGAGTGGTGGTGATGGTAAAGAGACAATTATTCAATAAATAAGGTAATGTCGTAGCACACATTAAAAAGTATCAATAAATTAACGTTCAAGTGCACAGAATATATTAGATTATTTATTATCTCTTTATTATTAATTATATTCCCAAACAACACAACAGATAACATTGTTTTTTTTTTACCAAACAACTAATAAACTTTTCTTACCTTTTTATTTAACCTTTTGAAATTTTCCCATATTATATTTTCCTCTTTGTCTCATTTGCATCCCCAGTTTTTAAAAATTCTGCATGGCCGCAACTATATTCACACCACAAAATCAAAATGTACAACAACACCAGCAGCAACAGTCTTCCCGAGGACGCCCTGTGTCGACACCAATCCCAATTCCTTACAGACTTCCAGACCTCGCTCAACCTCCACAACTGACACAAAGTTCAGTACGTAGGGGCAACATGTTTGGTCCGTATCTTTTGTTACAGACCTTGGGTGAAGGTGAATTCGGCAAAGTTAAACTGGGGATGCATGTAGACACCGGAGAGGAGGTAAGATGGTGGTGGAGTTGTAGCAGAGTGACAGAGATTGAAATTTTCCTTAAAGGATATAAAGTTGCAATCTACGAACCCCTTCTCCAATTAACCTTTTTGGTAACTTATTCTATTTTCTTTTACGCGTGTTGTTGATTACCATCAATTGATAACAGGTTGCAATAAAACTAATACGTAAAGAGTCTGTCGATAGTCAGTCTAGACTTCAAAAAATTGAAAGAGAAATCGGTGTCCTAAGGGTAAAATTTCTACTATTATTATTTTTACAATATAGTAAATTGTCTATGGTAATAACCTCTTATCTCAATAAAGAACGTTATGCACCCCAATATTGTACGATTATATGATGTCTTCGAGACAGAAAGATATATCGGAATAATACTTGAATACGCTTCTGGTAATTTCATATTTCAATTTATTACAAATCTGGTAATTTCATTATTATACTAAAATACAAATTTTATATATACATATATACATATACATATATATTTATATATATATATAGGAGGTGAACTTTTTGATCACATATTAGCACATCGTTATCTCAAGGAACGAGATGCCTGCCGACTGTTTGCCCAGTTGATCAGTGGTGTAAATTACCTACATCAAAAGAATATTGTACATCGCGATCTCAAACTTGTAAGCCCAATAATAATCATAATGTGTATAGCATCAAAACAATACTTATTAAGGTTTTTATTAGGAAAATTTGTTGTTGGATAGAAATCGCAATATTATTATTACAGACTTTGGTTTTGCCAATCAATTTGACAGTGCCAAAGCTGACTTGATGGCAACTTCTTGTGGAAGCCCATGTTATGCCGCCCCTGAACTGGTCATTAGTGAGGGACTTTATGTTGGAAGTGCTGTGGATATTTGGAGTTGTGGGGTTATATTGGTAAATGGTGATTCAATTTAGTTCTGAAAATTGTTGTTAATAAATTAATATCGAATTATTTTCTACATATTTTTTAGTATGCCATGCTGTCAGGATATCTTCCCTTTGACGATGATCCGTTGAACCCGGACGGAGATAACATCAATTTGCTTTATAAATATATTATTAATACACCTCTTGTATTTCCGGATTACGTGAGTCCGGATGCAAGAGATTTACTAAGAAAAATGCTTGTTCCTGATCCAGTAAAAAGATGTGATATGAGGGCAATAATGTCCCATCGGTTTGTAAATTGGAAAATTCTTTATATTGTTAATTGTTATTGAACTTGATGATTTACATACTATTCTTTTTTCTAGGTGGCTTGCACCTTATTCGGCTATTTTCGATTTTACTGTACAAGAATTAGAGGTACCATGAATTGAATAATTAACAAATGATTTTAATTTAATTTTAAACAATTCCCCATTTATATATATATATATATTTATATATATTAGACCGCTGCTAATCCGGTAGCATATACACCAGCACCTGAGACATATATTCCGGCATCAATGTCTGTTCCCAGTAACGGTTACTTGTCGACGGAATTTTTGACGGATTCCAAGACACATAATAATAGCATGCAATCATCTAACGCCGTCAAACGTCATACAATTCAAGTTGAATATGATTATCCAGATAGTACTGGGTTCGTTGATTACCCGGGAGACGAGGAGTTTATGTTTGCTGATGGTACACGTTTAGGCAACAGTAATTTGGTGCCCCCACCAGAAGAATTTGACTTGTCTGATGTAACAGAAGGAGGATTTTCTAATGGCAATTATATTAATGGATCATTACCTCCCGCTAAGATTAATGCGTCATTATATGCTCAATCAGACAAACATTATAGTGTAACATCTACTATCTCTGCTACTTCTATAAGTAGTGATACTGGTAGTACACCTCCAGAAACTCCAACTATGGGAAAAACTCCTGCTGGTAATGGATCCGGACTTTTTACCTTATTTGAGGGTGATCAAGTGCATAATAGTAAATCTGAAAATAATAATTACACTCAACTTGACATTGAGCATGTTACATTACCACCTCTGAATGGATATCACAACTCAAAACAACAAATTCAACTGGATGAACAGAAAAGTAGTACTTCACAAACACCCAAAAAACGTGATGCTCCGCGTGCCAGACCCGTTACAGTTCATGGTCCTCCTTCTGGCAATCCCGATTTTCTTACAAATTATAACATTCAATCTAAAACAAAAAATCCATCCGCTGACTCACGTATACAAGCTCAATTCATACCACCCAAAGCCACTCCTCCATCATCATCACTTCCTCCCGTTCCCAGTCTTCATCGTGACTCGCTAGCACCTTCCAATATATTAAATATTCCTACCATCTCACCGCCGCCAACGGCTGCACATAAAAATTCACATAAAAAAGGATTTGTTCTTCAGAATGGAACATCAACAAATGGTTCATCCAATTCTAGTATTAATGCTGGCATCACAAATAACAAGAATAATCAACTAAATGCAAAGACAAAATCCCAGTCTGCAAATGCATTGCAAGAAAAATTACAATCATCTTCGATACCACGTCAAAATATACAAGATATGCCAATTGACAGTGGTTCAGATACCACAAGTCTTGTCGATGATGTTAATAGTCTCCCTGAACGACCTTCGAGAGGTGGCAAAAGAAAAGCTTTTAGCTTAATGGTGGATTCATTAAAACTCCCATTGACTCAGTCGATCGCAACACACACTAATCAAGGCACTACAATAAAAGAAAAGAGAAAAACGATCAGTGGTTCTACAACTAGTGGCAGTTCAAGTGCTGCGAAAAAAGTCATGGACTGGTTCAGAAGAAAATCCTTGGGTAAGCGAAACTATGTATATATTGTATGATAGCTCGTTAGAAATCACTTGGCCGATTTCTATAAAAATAGAGTTCAGCAATCACTTGTAAATATAAAAGCATACACCACAAATCAAAAAATCCTATATATGAATTAATATATCGCATTTATTTTTTTATATTAAAAGCGAAAAGTGATGGCCCCATTCTTCCAACTCCTGCTAAAATGCCTAAACTCCGAGAAGAGGCCGTTCCAAATGGAGCAAATGGAACTACTCATAATGATAAAATTAACAAGACAAAACGTCCACCTCCAACCGTTGTAGTCACTAACCCATTAAATAGCAATACCTCACGTACTTCCTCATTTTCTAACTATAATTCCCTTGCTAATGTCGAATCAAAACTTCGAGTACATCATGGTGCAGTCGATCAATCAGCTTTAACTTCACGACCACCTTACGAGGTGTTCATTATAGTTAAACAAACGCTTGTTAGCATGGGAATCGAAATCAAGCGTGAAGGAGAATTCAAAGTCCGATGCGTTCGAAGAAAACGCAAAGTCATCCAACCGATAAAAGAAAATGGTAAAAGTAAAGATAAAGAAAAGGATCCACTTCCTATCTCGGAAAATAATAGTATTGAAGGTTCGGATAAGAAAAAGCGAAAATATTCTTCGGGGCCTTTTAAGACATTATTACGTAGGGCAAGTTCCAACAATAGCCAATTGTCCCCATCCTCAAATTCTGTATCATCCACTGCATCTTCCCCGCCAAGAAATTACAAGAAAAAATTAACCCCTTCCGCATCACCGACTTTCTTAACTACACACATTAATGAAGAACCTCTGGCCTTGAATATGCCAGTTCCTGCAATTGCTGGCAATAACAACAATAATAATGTTGCTAACCCTAGTTCGCTTTCTAGTCCTCAATTCGGTCCAAATATGACAGTCACTACCCCTGGAAATACATCACCTGCACCTACGATTGCATCAAACAATTATTCGAATTCCATAATCGCAACCCCTGAAGTATTATACGGGGATCCGACAGTAGATTCAGGTGAAGAAGTCCGGTTCTCGGTTGAATTGTGCAAAATCAAAAATCTCCCCGAGCTTTATATAGTCGACCTCAAAAGACTGAAGGGAAACATTTGGGCGTATAAATTTTTATATCATACACTTTTGGAAAAACTTGATCTAAGTGGGAAGGGGGGTTATTTAACGGTTGGGACAAGTGGCGGTTTTATTCCTTAATTATTATACCTAATATTCTCAAAAGTTTTGGTTTTAATTATTTAATTTATTTATTAAATCTTTTTCTTTCGTCGTTTTATGCTTTTGCAGCGTAATAGAAAATTCCCAAAGGACTTTACAAACTTGCATGTTTATGTTTATTTTTATTACTGTCATTATTATCATTCTCATAATATTTATTACTATCATAATATTTTCTATTTATTTCTAATACGATGTCGACATTCCTAATCTAATTCCTGTACCAAGACACTAGAGCAAGAACGGTTCAATAATTTTTTTTAACTTAAAAACTATAATTAATAATACAAAAAATTTCAAAGCAAAAAATAACATTGATTTGACTGAAAAGGATATTTCTTCGTAAACAAGTTTCATGTTGAGGATAAAAGAAAATTCCCATGAGTTTTTTCCCGACCCAAATCAGCATTAAATAAATTACCGCGATATATAGAAGAAACCCTCGTTATAAGAAAGAATTAAGGCCGACCTGGCCACTTATAACGGGATCAACTTCTCTAATTGTTGTTTGATCGCTGTGTCGCAAAATTTGTGTTGCTCACTCAGGTGACTTCTGTCTGCCTATTGTGAGGCTTCGAAGTGAAATAATTGACTTAGCTTTCTAATCATGTATACACTGTTCAGTGGTCTGCATGAGTATCTGACAAGAAAAGAGGAGTTTTACATTTTAATGCTAGGGTTGGACAAAGCAGGGAAAACGGTAAAACAATTTAAATAATTATTTATTAATGCTTTCACTGTTTAATAATTAATATAAATAAATGAATTCAAAGACATTATTAGAACGAATCAAATCGATATTTAACGGTGTAGTTGGCTTATCACCAGATAAGATTACTCAAACGGTGGGATTAAATAGTATGGCTTTTTTTACTCATTTCTCCAATTGAAATTTCCGATAACTTAGTCTCTTAATAACTTTTTTGAAAATAATTGATTAATGAAGTTGGCAAAATTGATTTGAGTCGCGCACGGCTTAATTTCTGGGATTTAGGTGGGCAAGCCGAACTTCGTAGTCTCTGGGAAAAGTATTATGCAGAATGCCATGCGATCGTATTTGTACTTGATTCGACGGATAAAGAAAGAATCGAAGAATGTAAACAAGCCTTTGGTAAACGACAATTATATAATGTTAATTAGATGATTTTTTTTTAATCTGCTTTTTTATAACTATATTCGTCTGTCTTCATAGAAAGAATAATTACAAGTGATATGACAGAGGGAATTCCAATTTTAATGCTAGCAAACAAACAAGATGTACCTGATTCACTCAAAGTCGAGGAAATTAAAGAGATTTTCAATAAAATTTCTTTGAGATTAGGAGCGAGGGATTCACGGGTATTAGCAATTTCAGCATTAGAAGGGTAAATATAAATTTGAGTAGAGACGGATAATTTAATTGGCTACATCATAATGAATTATAAAATTGATTTTTTTAGGGATGGGGTGAGAGAAGCCATAGATTGGTTATTTATACGATTGAAACGTAATCAACCAAACAGACCACCAATTTTTAAATGAATGAATGAAAAAATTGGAGTTGTTTGAAGTTGAGATATTCGTTATTCTTCAATGGTTGGTGATTATTGAGAAAGACAATCTAACGCCACATACAACTGTACTTTAGTAGTAAATCCTCAGATTCATAGTCATCATTATCGAAGGTAAAGAAGGAAATTTTCAAGGGCATTCATTAATTAGGTGATAATATCTCTCCCGAAAGGATTGATTGTTGAATGAAGGAAGGTTTTTAAGTTAATCTTTCGTAAATTAGATGATTCTACAGAATCACACCAAGATTTACCAATTAACAAGGGGGCGAGAATAAGACTCCCTTTCAATTCGAAGAAAGAAGAATTGACGCTTAACGGATTCCATTATCTTTTAATTAAAATAAGGTTGGATCAAATTTTTTTGTACGAGTTTATAGATTTTAATATAAATTATTGTAATAATAACAATCGTAATAATAATGATGATAATGAGAATGAGAATGATAATTATAATATTGATGATGATATAATAATAATGATAATGATGATAACAACCAATAATAATAGCAACAACAATCTAAAAACAGTTATTGACCTTTTTCTAAAACAAAAATTTCTAGCATATAATTATCTAAATTATAAATTATTTAATGAAAGATAAATAATGGTTCTTGTACATTATAATGATACTCATCATTTTTCATGCCTTCAAATTGTTTTTGTTCATGTTATATACTATACAAATAATAATAATAATAATAATAATAATAATAATAATAATAATAATAATAATAATAATAATAATAATAATAATAATAATCTAGAATTCTGTCAACGTTAAGCTTTTTGCTATATCGGTTGATTCAATCATCGAACAAAATTCCTCAAAAGAAATTTTTCCATCCATATCTTTGTCAGCTTCCATTATAGTTTTATCAACGATTTGTTGGAGTTGATTATCCTTGAGATTATTACCAACCATCATTTTCAATACAAGAAACAGTTCACCGTTAGATATATACCCATCACGATCCATGTCATATACCTTAAATGCGACTATTTAAAAATCTATAGATTAATATTTATAATAATAGGATAATTTGCAGGCATGTAATTGTAAATTACTTAAACTCACAACGCAATTTATCGTCCTTCTTTCCTTTTACGCTAAATGCACTTAGTCCAGATAAAAATTCCTTAAAGTCGACATCACCACCACCATCCTCATCAAATATGGCAATCATTCTCGACGCAAGTGGGTTACTTGCAATCTGCGGAATGGAGAGAAATTCTTCACGATCAACAGCACCCGACTTATCTTTATCTAGTTTCATAAAACGTTTATAGAGACGTTGGATTTCTGCAGCGCTAACTTTAAGAGTTCACGAAACGCGTAGATATTAGTTTAACATGCAGTATTAGCATACGAATCTCATTTCATAAATTTATAGAGATTGTTACTATAAATTTAGCTTCATGCGTTTTTCCAGGTATAAATACTTTACAATTGTTATTATCGTCCATTTTTTCTTGTATGAGCAAAAGTGATGAATTACCCAGACTATAAACAATAATGTTACTTAATAGGGATAATCGAGATTTTTTATTGAATTGGTTAGTCTATATTATTTGTGCTGCAAACAATGACGCTAATTTCAAATAAAATTCCTATCGCGATTCTTTTTTTTAAATTTATTGAGAAGTGAATTGTTCCCGAAACAATAATGGAGGACGCTGAACTTGAAGCAATAAGACAAACTCGATTACGCGAATTGCAGGCTCGTGCCGGAGGACCCGTAATACTGAATGCTATACTTTTCAAATGTTCTTCGCTTGCATAGAGTAATCAATTAATGAATTATTCGAATGAATCATCTATTCGAACTAGTCAGTTGGTCACAATGTTGGCAACGCGAAAAGCTCAGAGGAAGAAACTGAGCAAAAACGGTATTACATTTTTTGAATGAATGGGTTTAGCTAACGCTATTATTTGATTTAATATTCGATCATTTTTGTAGACAACAAGAGGAAACTAGACAAAATTTGGTATTTTATTTTTTAACTCTTATTTTTACGCATACTATTATGAAATATTTCGATTGATTTTTTTGATTTTTCAACTAAGCTGATTCAAATTCTTGATAATGAAGCACGAGAACGGCGTATGTTGATTTATTTCCTCTCTCGTTTCTCATTGTTATTATTATTATTATTATTATTATTATTATTATTATTATTATTATTATTATTATTATTATTATTATTATTAT